GGAGAAGTGGTGCCTCGATGCGCACCCGGGATCCGAACCCGGGCCACCAGCATCGCAGCACGCGCACTTAACCACCAAGCCACAGGGCCGGCCCATATATCCAGCATTTTTAGTTGTTTTCAGCATGAGGGTTTGTTCAAGTTACTTAGCTATTCTTAACTTCCTTTTAAAAGCATCTTTTTAAAGTTGTAGGATAAAGGAACTGTGTTAGACCTTGAGAACTCATCTATTTCAAATTAATTCATTAGTAGTCAATAAAGTAGAGGTTTATTGATCACCTACCGTGTGCCCAGTATTGTGCTATATATTATGGAAATTTTGAGTAAATACAAGGCATAGTATTCCTTACATTCAAGGAGTTTAGCTGGGGAAACAAGCATAAACCCAGAAAATTAAATCGAATGTTGGAGGAGGTGCGCAAGGGTAATGCAGAGTTAATGGCATAGTGAAAACTCAAGGCAGTAGGTGCTGAGTGGGAGCCTGACCCGCTCCCTGCCTCTGCCCCCTCTCCCAGGCCATCCTCCCCCAGGTGGTCACCATGCTGTCTAAAACCTCCAGCTCCTGTCATCCCCCTCTACCATTACAGCTCTTCAGTGGCTCCTCCACTGTCTTCCAGATGTTCCGGTGCGTCTGAGGCCCTTCAGGAGCTGCCTGGCCTGCGACTTCCCAGCCCCCCGGCTCTCCTCATCCCTGGCGGCGGTTACACTCCTCCACCTTTGCCTGCACTCTTCCCTTTGCTTGGAAGTCTTCTCTTCCTTTGGTGTGAGGCTCGTTTTTCAAAACTGAGCCTCAGGTAGTGTCATCCTTTCTGGGAAGCCTCTGCCAGCCCAGTCCCTTGTCCTCAGGAATCAGAGGCCTCTGCTGGATCGCCCGTCAGTACCTGTTGTCCATGGTAATGGCAGTGACAGGGATCTGGTGGCAGTAGCCAGCATGTGTGTAGTCTGGCCCTTGCCACTCACTGAGCACTGTTGCAGGCACTTCACATACACACAACTCTGAGATGGCCAATACTGTTTTCCCCATGTTACAGGGGAGGACACAGGAACAGAGAGGCTTCACAGCTAATAAGTAGAGTGGTCTTCTGGGCAGTGACTGTATTCATTTCTCCCCTCTTCAGTAGGGCAATGGAAACGTAGGAGAAGGGCCTGAGCTGTGAAGATGAACATTTGTGGGTGACCATTTCCTCCCTCGCCCACTGGGGCTATGTCTAAGGGTTAACTAGACAACTGTGTACGAATCCCCCTGCTTCCTTCCGAAGTCCGGTTGTTTATTCTGCTGTGAAGGTGCCTAGGACTGCGTTCTGTCCTCTCCTGACGGCGTTCTTGGCCTCTCCTGTCCTGTTTCTGTGGGGCTTAGCTGCATCCGCCAACCTAGTCTTCTTGGAGAGTCTCGGGACTCCCCAGTCTGTCTTGGCGAGACTTTGTGAAACTTGACTGCCTAGGATTTAGCTAGGCCTGCTCTGGTCAGACCTACCAAGTGAACCTCCATCCTGAAAGAGTCTCAAGTCTGTGTTCCCCCCAGTTCCACATGTAGGTTAACTGACATGGGCTGTCATATCTGAAAATGCAGTAGTCCTCTTGCACCTTAGTCTTGAATGAATTATGAAGGGATGTGGTGAGAACTGAAGGCAGCACTGTTAATATTACTTTAATAATGCTCTCCACTCCAACCAGTAATGCAACCACGTCAAGTGCTTGGGATTTCATCAGAGAAAAGCCAATTCCAATTAATTGATAGGCTGTTCTTTTTAAAAAATAAACTTTAATTTTTAGAACAGTTTTGGATTTACAGAAAAATTGCGAAGATAGTGCAGAGAGTCCCCATGTATCCCACACCCAGTCTCCCTATTATTAACATCTAACATTAGTATGGTACATTTGTTATAATTAATAAACCAATACTGATACCTTATTATTAACTGAAGTTCATAGTTTATTCAGGTTTGCTTAGTTTTGATGTCCTTCATCTGTTCCAGGATCCCAACCAGGATACCACATTACATTTAATTGTCGTGTGTCACTAGGCTCCTCTTGGCTGTGACAATTTCTTTCTTTTTTTTTTTTTTAAATACACATGTATGTGTACTTTTGTTTCTTTGTTTTTTGGTGAGAAAGATCAGCCCTGAGCTAACATCCATGCTGATCCTCCTCTTTTTGCTGAGCAAGACTGGCTCTGAGCTAACATCTATTGCCAATCCTCCTCCTTTTTTTCCCCAAAGCCCCAGTAGATAGTTGTGTGTCATAGTTGCACATCCTTCTAGTTGCTGTGGCTGTGACAATTTCTGACTTGCCTTGTTTTTGATGACTGACGGTTTTGAGCAGTACTGGTCAGGTATTTTGTAGGATGACCCTCTATTGGAATTTGATGTTTTTCTCATGATTAGAGTGGGTTACAGGTTTTGAGGAGGACGATCCCAGATGTAAAGTGCTATTTTAATCACATCATATCAGGCATACATACTGTCAGCATGGTTTCTGACTGTTGATGTTGACTTCCATCATCTGGCTGCGGTAGTGTTTGTCAGGTCTCTGCACTGTGGCGTTACTCCCCTCTACTGCTGTATTCGTTGGAAGGAAGCCAAAGGGTGATACCTAATCCTCTTTAGCTCATAAATGAAGTCATTATTTTAAAGTGTTTTATACCATTACATACTAAAAAAGAATGTCCACAAACCAATGTTCTCTTTATAAAAAACATAAAATTATTTCCTTTAATATTTTCAAGTCATCATTCCCTAGCAAGAACAGTTTATGTATTGTGCTGATTATTCGGCCAATTTTGATTCCTTCAGTTTTGAAGCAGTGGATTCAAAGCTGAATAGAAAAGCCTGCAGTTTTTGTTTTTACTCGCTGCAAAATGCAGGACAGGCAGATGCAAGGAATCATAATTATCACTGCCTGATGTAACGTTAGGATAATTATCATTGCCTGTCTTGTTCATTTGTTCTGTATGAACACAGGACGGTGTGCCTTAAACCGTATTTAATATAATAATATATGATAAAAATGCAAAACTGCTTTCTACTGAGAAGACTTTGTAGGGCTATCATTTTGATGATGGCTCTTAAATCATTCCACAAATGGCTTAATAGTTCATATCATGCTTGAACGGTAGCTTATAAACCAGGTATAAAAATACACGTGAACCATACTAAAATTTGAGATGCCCGGTTAGTGGTGATGACAAAAAGTATAACAGTCTGGAAACATGCAAGAAGTCCCGGCAACGGCTTTTGGTGTGGTGCGCTGTTAGACTGAAGCATAGCATACTAAATATACCCATAATACAATAAGCACAGCTTCATCCTTACATAACCATTTTTACTATTATTAAAACTAAAAGGTCGTGGAAAAGAGGTTTTTCTTTTTTCCAAAAATTGCACCAAAGTAAAGCAAAGCTCTAGTTGATGCGGGCGTGTTGTTTAGGCGTTAGCAGTACTGCCCTCGCTAGGCGCTCATTGGACAGTAGCGCAACCCCAAGAAAAGGATGGTTAGCGTGTGTTGCGCGTGTGGTGCAAGCAGGAAGCACCAATACCAGGTTAGGTTGTGGTGACTAATTCGCAAGTGCCGGCCTAGCAGCCTGGTAGCTGGTGTACCTATGTTGACCACAGTTCCGAAGCAAACCACTAACTTCTTGTTTTCTGAGACTTCTGAAGGGCGCGAAGAAGCCGCTCGGTTGTACCCAGAAGGCCACGCGCCAGTCGCGAGTTCATTTGCATACGCGCTCCTAGCGGGGCGGGCGGGGCCGGCAGGAGGCCGGGCCGCGGCGCACGCTCACTGCCGTCGGCAGGCGCCGGGGTTGTGGCCCCGCTGCGACTGGTTTTTATTTTGCTTCTCGTCAGCTGCTTTTTCCTGTTACAACTGTGAACAGCTCTTCCTGTACAGGGACAGCCCTGGTCTCGATGACTGATTTAACTTTGCCAGTCGGCCTGCGCTCTCTGGGCTCTCGGGCCGCGTCTGGGCCAGAAATGTGGGCGCGTCCTGGGAGCTGGCGGGCGGGCGCGCTGGGCCCCGGGCCGGCCGCTGACGGGTTCCCGCTGTTTCCCGTTGCAGGTGGTTCTCCTGGGCATGGACATCCTGTCTGCGCTGGTCACCCGGCTGCAGGATCGGTTCAAGGCGCAGATCGGCACAGGTGAGCCGTGGGCGGGTGTGGGGCGGGCCCTCAGACTCTCCACCCTCCGTCCCCCAGCCTTCGCTCAGTCTCCCCAGATCCTCCACTTGGCTGTACCCAGCCCTCCCAGCCAGCCGCCCTGCTCCCCTCTCCCGCCTTTTAACCTTCCCCTCTGGTCCTCCCATCCTCCCAGCCAACCCTCCAGCCTCCTCCTCCAGTCTCCCCTTGCTGGGGCTGCACCACTGCCTTCCCTCCCAGATCCACTGGCCTCACTGCACCTGCTGGCACCCCGCCCCCCCATACCTTTTTGCTGGCTTCTTCCAAGTTTCGTGTTCTAATATGAAGTACTACTGCGAATTCTTTTATTTCCTATACAAATTAGCTATCACACTTGAGTGCCAAGCGAGTCATGTTTGTCTCTGACCCTTCCACTTTCAGAGGCATTTTCATTGAGAAATCCTGCGAATCTGATGCGGTTGTATTTTCTCCAGACGATTATCGTGGGTATTGCTGTTTTCACTTTGGTTGTAAGTGTCATTACAAGTGTGTAGTAAATGATCACTTATTTTGAAGGGAAAACAGTATGTCAACAAAATGAAATTAAAATAACCACAGGTTTCGTAGATTTAGAGATGACTTAGTCATCTCTAAATTTCCAACCTCTCTGATTTCATAATGACAATATAAATACTAAGCCGCTTTGTGCTTGTGCAAGCATTTGCTTATAGAATTTTTCCATTTTAATTGGTATGTGTGTATTCTTTTCTGTTAACTTTCTGGTCAATGTGCTCCTTTAGATAGGGTCGTGAAGTCTTTTCCCATTCTGTCACTGTCCATCTACAAATGAAAACCCCCCTTTTAGAAATTTGATATTTTAATAGCGTTCCATTTTCCTCTAAAATTAGCTGACTTGTTCACAGAGATCATTTGTAAAAGCAAGCTCTGTGGACTCGTAGAAGAAGCAAAGCAAGCTGACTCCTGGTGTGCAGGTGCCCTTGGAGCACTGGCTGATGGCCCACACCCGGTGTGGAGGAAGAGGGGAGCGCCGGACTCCCATCTGCTGTGCGTGAAACGTGTTATGTGCAATTAAAAACACACAGTGTAGATGCAAGATAGATTGAGCTGTAAGTGCCTCCTCCTTCTTCCCCCAAGCACATGTGCTGGAGCCCCTCTCTTCCGTAATTTTCTTTCTGTGTTTACTCTTTCCTGCCGAGCTCTTTCATTGACATCCATTCTAATAATATTTCACCAGCTTAAAAATATGTTGGGAGCTGGCTGGAGGGAGGTGGGGTAAGGAAGGTGACAAATAGTATGTCCATGCAAAGGATTTTGCCAATTCTTATGGTAACTCCCGTGGATTTTAGCAAGGTGAGTAGAACTGTAGGGATTGGTGGTTTCAGAATGATGTACATCATTTAGGCCAGGATTTTATCTTCCCAGTTAATTGAAATATCCACAGTTGGTGACTGTAGACTCCCAAAATAGGTTTTCATTTGATCCGTTTGCGTTTTGGTTTCCAGTGCTGCCAAGTTTAATAGACAGACTGGGAGATGCTAAAGACTCTGTGAGGGATCAAGACCAAACTCTGCTGCTAAAGATCATGGATCAAGCTGCTAACCCCCAGGTGAGGCAGGGGAGGCGTTCTGTGGCCAGCTGGCGTGTGTGTACTCGTATAACATAGTGGGTGACTCCATATGAAAAGACTTCCCTTCATTTAAGCTGATGTATTTAGGATGAAAATTTTCATGGCATTTAACGTATCCCCCCACCCCTATATAGGATATTTAAATAATAATAAATAGCGAAGAGTGTGCTTTGAATAAATTAGTGGACTTAACGTGGGTATTGAGTGCTTGGTTTAATCCATTAGACTCTTGAGCTCATTTGCATAACTGGGTCTGTGTATCTCTGAGGAGGTATCTATGGTGTCTGGGGAGTCAGGAGGCCTACGTGGAGCCCTTGTCCATGTCTCCTAGTGACCTGGGCCTGCTGGGATGGACACAGCCCTGCCTTCCAGGGTCTAGCTTCCAGGGTCTGTCCATTGTTCGGGGTTAGGGGTGGAGGTACCAGAAAAAGCCTTCTCAGGGAAGGTAAGACCTAGACTGGCCTTAAAAGATGAGGAAATGTTTGACTTGTAGGTGGGGTGGGGACAGCCATTCCAGGCGGAGAGAGCAATATGAGTGTGATCTTTGGCAAGTCACCCACCCTCTTTCACCCTCAATTTCCTCACCCATAAATTGGGGATAGTTATATTTCCCTTTCAAGGTTGTTGGGAGAATTAAATGCAATTATATAAAGGAATATGTTTTGAAAATTTTAACTTTATATACAAATGTAAGTCACCATTTTTCACTATGCTGTTAGAGGACTAAATGGGATGGTGGAGGCTGGGACCTGTGGAGAGGTCCCACTTCTGTGGGCCCAGTATTCGATAAAAGGCTGCAGAAGTCTCCTCCTGTCCTCTTTGACCTGTCCTTTGCTGTCTGCAGTACGTGTGGGACCGAATGCTGGGAGGCTTCAAGCACAAGAATTTCCGGACTCGGGAAGGCACGTGTCTCTGCCTTGTTGCCACACTCAGTGCGTAAGTCTGGGCAGGGTCTGAGGGTTTTCTTGGCCGAGTTCTGTTATTTTTAACTTTTCATTTTGGAATAACTATAGATGTCAGGATGTTGCAGAGAAATGTACTGGGGGGTGCCGTGCACCTTTTCCACCCTCCTCAGTGCTGACTTCTTGCATGTCTGTGGTGCAGTGTCGGTACCAGGAAATTGATGTTGATACAGTCCACAGAGCTTCTTCAGATTCCTCCAGTTACACACATGCATTGTGTGTGTGTATGTGCAGTTCTGTGACGTGCAGCTGCATGTAACTACCCCCACGATCAAGGTGCACGCCTGCACGTCACCCCAGGTGCCTTCACACTGCTCTTTTATAGCCATTCCTAACCCCTGGCACCTGCTCCTCTGTTCTCCATTGCTCTGATTTTATTATTGTATAAATGGAGTCATACAGAATGTAACCCTTTGAGATTGGCTTTTTCCACTCAGCATAATTCTCTCGACGTTGCATGTATGTTCTTGCCTAAATGATAGTTCATTTCTTTTTATTGCTTGGTAGAATTCTATGGTATAGACAGATCACAGTTTGTTTAACCATTCAGCTGTTGAAGGACATTTGAGTAATTTGCAGTTTTTGGCTGTTACAAATAAAGCTGTTATGAATAAGCTTGTGCAAGTTTCTGCAGCAGCATAAACTTTGATTTCTCTGGGGTCAGTGCCCAAGAGTGCAAGTGCTGGGTCATTTGGTGAGTTCATTTTTAGTTTGAAAAGAAACTGCCAAAGTATTTTCCAGAGTTGTCTGTACCATGTTACACATCCCAGCACTTTCATCATATCCTTGCCAGCGTTGAATGTTACCATTGGTTTTTATTGTAGCCATTTTGACGTGTGTGTGTGTGTGTGTGTGTGTGTGTGTGTGTGTGTGTGTGAATATCTCATTGTGGTTTAATTTGTATTCCTCTAATGACTGTTGATGTGGAACATTTTTTCATGTGATTTTTTTGTAGTAGAGGCTTTTTTAAAATTACAGATCACTTTTTATGATTATGAAAGCAATATTGTCTATGTCATAGAAAGTTTACATAAAGAAGAAAGTAATGATTACTTGTAATTCTACCACCTTCAGATAATCACTTTTTAGCTTGTGTATTTTATTCTAGCCTGTAAAGTTATATTATATTTAAAAACAAAATTTGGGTTATGATGTTTATGTTAGTTTAAATTGTTTCCCTCTTAACATGTTAGCCTTTTCAGTGTCATTAAATGTGGCCATATGTATCTGAAGCTTTTAAAAAACGTTTCTAGCCTTTGGTCATAGTAGTTCCACTTTCTAAGAGTTTATCATAAGGAAGTAATCAGGTTACCAAAGAGAGTTGTGTTCACAAAGGATGCTTGTGACAGGATTTATGATGATGAGAATTTGTCAACAACGTAAATGTTCTCCAGCAGAGCAATGTTTGGTTGGAATCTTCTGCACCATTTTATCACAGTGTGTTGATTCAGCACTTATGAACTGGATGTTAGTTATAGCAGAGAGTCATGCACAGATGGAAAATTAAGTGAGGACCCTCAAAGGACCAGGAGTTTAGCTGAGTATACTGAGTTGGGCAAAATAGAAACCATTACATGACAAAATGGTAATGCAGAGGTAGCCACATGTGAGGCAGGCAAGGCATCGGGGAGAGGCTGGGGCTTTGGCTTCACATCAAAGGGCTGGGGCCAGATTGGTGAGAGCCCTGATGCCAGGGAGAAGACCATCAGTGAGAAGCACTAATGGTTTTGAACTCTGTGCAAAGGAGCTATCGTGGCAAGTTTATTTGGGAACCAGAGGGGAAGAAGATGGGGAAGATGGGAAGGAGAAAGCCTAGGTGTGAGGTGATGATAGGACCTTGGGATGGAGAGGAAGGGGTGAGCGTGGGCAGAGTGGCTTCTTTCTTTAGTTCTCACTGACAATAAAACACTCTTTTGTTTTCAGCTCTGGAGCGCATACTTTAACACTAAGCAAGATCGTGCCACATATATGTAACTTACTTGGAGATCCAAACAGCCAGGTGAGTGTATTTTAGTGAGAAAGAAAAATCATTGGTGATAGACAGTTAAGATGCATTTTGGTATTCTGTGTATACCTGATAGGTGGGTGGGACTGCATTCATCTTTATAGAACTCTGATTATTGTTGAAGGTAATTAACATTAATGCCCCATAGCATTTATAAGATATCACTGGTAAATGTGGTGGCCACTCTGCCCTCTTCTCTACATAGGGCTGAGACCTCACTGGCCTTTAAAGTGATGTCATCCAGACCAGCCTCCAAGATAATATCACTCTCTGCATCTCTGCAGTCAGAAGGGAGTGGGCATGGAGGAGAATGATCAATGCTGATTGAGGTCATACAGTGATTGCCTCTTGAGGTGGGAGGAGATTGATTGGAAAAGGCCTGAGGGAACTTTTTGGAGGTGATGGAAATGTTTCGTATTCTGCTTGGGGTGGTGGCCACGCTGAAGTATGTAACTGTGGAAACTCCTGGAACTGAACCCTGTGTGCATGTTGTTTTATGTAAATTTTACCTAAATTAAATCAAAGCAAAGCACCACTTCCTTAGTGTAAGGGCGGGAGAGGAGTTGGTGATCTGTGAGTAGTTAGCAGACCCTTCACGAAGCTTTCCCAGTCTGGGCTCCAGATATGCCAGTTCTCGTACCTCGTTCAATTCTCTTTATCATCCGGCCTCATTTTTATAATGTTAGCTCATACAAACTGATAAGAAAAACACATCATTAGATAAAGGAGCTGAAAATAGGAACAATAATTTACAAAAGAAATATATGTGGGGAACAAGCATCTCCTTGTGGTCTTGATTGGTGATTGCTAAGGCCTCCAAGAGGTGGTGCCATGCTCTCCTTCCACTTCACCAGCACCCAGGCCCTCTGGTCTCAGCACCTCCCTTTCTCTCATCCTTTCTTCTTCTCATCTTTGCCCCTAATTCTAGGTGCATTTTCTCACCTTCTCTTTGCTGCTTTGTTATGCTGCTTCCCTTCCCGTCTCTACCTCTCCTCCTGCTGCCCGTCCCCGTCCCCATCGCCCCTCTCCTCCTGCTGCCCGGCCCCGTCCCCGTCCCCCCTCTTCTCCTGCTGCTGTCCACCCCATCCCCCCTCTCCTCCTGCTGCTGCCCATCCCCATCCAACCTCTCTTCCTGCTCGCTGCCCGCCTGGTTTCTTGGACTTTCTCCTGACACCGACTTTTTTCTTCCCACTTGTTCTCTTATCCAGTTTCCACTGAAAATTTGTGACATTGGAAATATTTTTAGATATTTTTATTTACTGAATCATACTCTATGTTCAACATTAAACATAACTTAAACTATTTTTTTAAAAGATTCTAAATTACCAAATGGATTCTTTTGCCTTTTCCCCCCCTTTTGGTCTTGTCTCCATTTTTGTTTTCTGTGGGAAAAAATCCTTTATAGAGGTCACTCTTTAAGGATATCACTGCTACTGCCTGGTATCCTTTAGTAGAGCAGAAAAGCCAGACCGGCCGTTTGAAGTTATTTGTTCCTAATTGAAATGCTTACATTGGCCCAACAGGTGATGTCAGTGTTCATGCTGGGCCTGTGGGAGACAGAGCATCAGGGGAATGAGGTTGGTGCTCTATGGGTGGCTGTCAGGTGGAGCCAGAGTATTCCAAACTGAGCACTCTGAAAAGACTCCATATATTCGCATCTGCCTTAAGGATACTTGCACAGACACACACAGACACCCACAGCCACGTCTCCCAGAAGCCTCCTGCCAGGACACTTTGCCACCTGTGCTTCTGATCTTAATCCAGTTAATCATTCTTCCTCTGGGGGTATGTATGCATGTGCGTGTGCTCCTGCCTTGATTATAATTTTTCGTCAGTCTTTTCTGCTAGTCTCTGAACCTTGAGGGTCAGGACTATAACTTGCTCCTCTTTCTCATCCCAGGACTGCCTTCCAGTTGGGCCTAGGATTGAGTAGAATCCTCATGGCTGTTTGAATGACTTTCCCTTCTTAGCTGTTTACATCTTAGGCCAGAGAGGACACTTGTGCCAATGCTGTCACTGCAGTTGGTACCTGCTGCAGTCAGCCTGCAGCTCTCATGCGCGTGTGTGGAGAGTTCTCTCATGCCTCTGCAGGCAGCTACTGCCATTGCTTGGAGTTGCATGTAGGGTGAACTCTGCCAACACTCCTGCCCTAGAGGATGCGAGTTCGTTTTAATACTGGTCTGAGTGCAGAGTGATCCAGAGCAGGGGAGGCCCCTCAGAAGCTTCTTGGAGTGGCTCACAGGTAGACGGAATGTGTGAGTAGGATGCTTTTGGCTCCAAGTAACTGAAAACCCAACGTGAAATGGCTCGAGCAGTAAGGAAAGTGTGTTACCCCATGTAAAGAGGAGCCTGAAGTAGGGAGGCTCCGGGGCTTCTTAGGGGCTCAGGCATGTCCCCAGAGACAGTCTCAACCATCTCAGTCCTCGAGCTCTGTCATCTGCTGCTCTCCTCACGGGCACGGCACAGGTGCAGCCCAGTTGCATGCCTGCATGGCAGGCCGAGTAGATGGAAGCCGCTGCTTCCTGGGTTGCACTCCTGTTTTCAACTTGTCCATGTTGCAAGCTTCAAACTCCTGTGGAAATAATGAGAATAACATAATGCATCCCTGGACCCATCATCCAGCTTCCACAACTCAGGAGACAGGACCACTTTAGTTTCACCTGTTTTCTCTCCCCCATCACATTATTGTGAAAAATAATCTAGATTATTTTGAGGGAAATCTTAGGCATCATTTCATTTAATTCTTAAATACTCTAAAAGATAAGGCCTTTTTTTCCCCTAAACACATAACCTTAATACCATTATCACCTGTCCCTCAAGAATGACTAATTCTCTCATATCATTAAATACTTAGTCAGTGTTTACTTTTCCCTAAGTGTGTCATGTTTTTTAGAGTTCCCTGCATTTCTCTTTCCAAGAGTGGGGAAACATTTTCCAGACGCTTTCTTGCAGATTCCCCTTGCGTTTCATTGTTGAGAATTGCATCCCGTGCCCCTGTGTTAACCTAGTCACTGGAAAGGACCTAGGATTTTGTGATGGCCTCACACTAAGGAGACTTTACCTCCTGAGCTGAGAACAGGGTTTCCTTCTGTGAGGTGTGGATTGCAGAACAAGGCCTGTGTTTGTTGACAAGGAGGACAGGGCAGTGGCTGTAGCAAAGGCAGCTGGCAGAGACATCGTAGACAATAGGAAGTCCCTTTGGTAGATAAGAAAAGTGCCAGTTCTGCCTGAAAATCTTTGATTCATCTTTATAGCTCCTCAGCCAGCCCAGGGCAGTCAGTCAGAGGACTGCATCTGAAGGGCCTCCCACGCTGGCCGCCTTCTGTCTTGCTAAGGCGTTTGACACACATCGTCTAAGCCTAAACACATCTTGCAATGTCTGAGGACTGTTGTTGATCTGAGAGTGCTCTGAGCTGGGCCTGGACTGGGCTGTGGTGACAGTGCTCAGAAGGCAGGAGAAGGAGAGCCGCTGTTGAGGGCCTGACTGACACCTGGGAAATGGGCAGGTCGAGCTGCGGCCTGAGTCGTCAGTGGTGTGCAGATGAGGCCCCATTGAGTCTGGTCAGGTCTGTGGCACCCGCTCTCCGAGGCAGGCTGGCTGCAGGCTGTGCTCCTGTTCTCAGAGGATGGGGGAGGTTTGGCTTCCCAGCAATTTACAGGTGCCCTCCCTCTCCCCAAGGTGAAGCCGTCCTTTGAGTGTTTGGCTTTGTAGGGAGCCCTCCTTCTGACACCCACATTGGAATGCAGTATGCTAAAGTGAAAAGAATGTGGGCCTGCACTCGGAGGGATGGATGTTCAGCTCCTCACTCTGCCATTTACCTGCTGTGGCCCCGGCGGGGGGCTGGCCTCCCCAGCCTCCATGCCCTCCCCTGTGTCACAGTAGCAGTGGCCCTGTAAGGAAGGTCATAGGTTTAAAGACCTCAGACTCGGTAAAGCATTCAACTCAGGCCTGGCAGGTAGTGCTTCATATCTGGGGCTCTTGTCCTTTGCAGTCCTGACAGCCTGAAATGTTGGGTTCCTTTCTGTGGTGAGCCTGGGAAGGCGGAAGCGGTGTGGGACCATGTGGCTGTGTGTAGAAGCGAACACCACATTGTCCCTTCAGCCTGAACTGAGCTGCTTTTACTGGTTTGCTTCTCAATAGAGTATATTACTTTGTGGTACCCAAGAAAGGAAATCTGTTCTCCTGTATTTCTGGAATCAAAGGTGGTTTAGGCCCTCAAATTCTATCTGACCCTGTAGTTTTTTAAGCCCGAGGACTGATTATTTTAAAGATTAAGGATATTGGTTTAAAAGATATAGATAGTACTAGTTCCACCAGCCGTTGTGTTGAGTGCTGTGTACACACAACCTGTAGGTCACAGACTGCTGACCTGAAATCTAATTTCAGCCTCCAGGTTGGTGTATATGTGTGTCTGCACAATGTTTTAATTTTACGTTTAGAGTTTGGGTGTTTTTACATTTGGAAGATTTGTATTTCTGACTTCTCTCAAAAGATTAGAAGATGTGGGAAAGCTGTACCTGCGTTCCTCTGAGGCTGAGTAATGGTGGCCTCTTTGCCTGACCCTCTATATTCACTCTTCTGTCTCTCCCAGCGGGGTCGCATGCTTGTGCCGTTTGTCATCACATACCCACCCTGCTCCACTCGCTTATCTTGTTCCCTGCCTGGGCTGTGTATGCACTTCAGTTTGGCACCTAGTAGGCACTCAAATATTTGTGGAATGAATCCATTATTTCTTTTAGTCCTCAAAATAATGTTTAGCTTATGGAGGAGGAAATTGAGACTAAAAGGGTTTAAATATTTGTTGAGGGTTACACAGCTCCTAAATGGCCACTCAGGTACTCAGATCTTCTTCTTTGACTCTAAAGCTAGTAATTTTTCCACTAAATCTATCAAACTCTTTATGGCCCAGACCATCTAAGTAGTGGACAGGATATTAATTGTTCTTTAAGGTGATTGTGTGATTGTCTCAACAAATGACATCACTAGACAGTAAGCAAAGGTGATGCACTTATTGCTGATGTTCAAGGCACAGTGGCATCGACTGCTTTTGTAATACATGCATGTTACTATGTAAAAATGTTTCCTAACATCATAAATTATTTCTTTTCCATTGTAAACTGATAATCTGTATTAGTCAACTCAGGCTGCTATAACAAAATACCATAGACCTGGTGGCTTAAACAACAAAAATTTATTTCTCCCGGTTCTGGAGGCTGGCAGTCTGAGATCAGGGGGCCAGCATGGTCAGGTTCTGGTGAGGGCTCTCTTCCTGGCTTGCAGACTGCTGCCGTCTCGCTGTGTGCTTGCAGGACCTCTGTGTGTGTGTAGAGAATGGGTTGAGCTCTCGGGTGTCTTTTCTTAGACAGAGCCCCACTCTTATGACCTCACTTAACCTTAATTACCTTCTTATAGACTATCTCTAAATACAGTCACATTGGGGGTTAGGTCTTTAACATATGAATTTTGGGGGGACACAGTTTAGTCCGTAGCATAAGGTTTTGGGATAGAAGATAATATGCTTTGCTTTTTATTTGCTTTTTCCCACCATAAGGGGAAAAAATTATAAGTAAAGTTACTTGTCATATAACACTGTTAAATCAAAGGGTAGCCTCAGTATTCAGAATTGTAAATTATTTGTATCCCTACTTCTTTCCTCTCACCTTCAAATCTCTGTTACTTTGATTTTATTGCTTGAGACCAAATCTAAAATCATGTTGCTCCCCTAACTTTGCCTACTGAATTAAGTGCACATTCCACTCCTCCCCACCCTCCGCACCCCCTACAGGCTGGCCTTGGTTCCATTGTATATTAAAAAAAATTTTTCTACCCACCTTTTTATTGGCAAAATTTTAAACCTGTAGAAAAACTGAAAGAGTAGCATAGTGAACACCCATATTTACCACTTAACATTTTGTTACATTTTATACCTCCGTGTGCATACACACACACAAACATAGTTTTTTTTTCCTGAACTCTGAAAGTATCTTACAGACATGATTTTACCCCTAGATACTTCAGTATGTATCTCCTAGTAACAAGGATGTTTTCTTTCTTTCTTTCTTTTTCTTTGTTTCTTTCCTTTTCTTTGCTTTTCTTTTCTTTCTTTCTTTCTTTCTGAGGAAGGTTGGCCCTGAGCTAACATCTATTACCAATCTTTCTCTTTTTGCTTAGGAAGATTGGCTGTGAGCTAGTATCTGTGCCCATCTTCCTCCATTTTGTATGTGGGACACCGCCACAGCATGGCTTGATGAGCGGTGGTTGGTCTGTACCCAGGATTCGAATCTGCAAACCCCGGGCCACCACAGTGGAGCATGAAAACTTAACCACTACACCACCGGGCCAGCCCCAAGGATATTTTCTTATATAACCATATGTCATTTTCATATCCAAGAGATTTAACATTGATGCTCATAACATTTGATATTCAATCCATATTCAAATTTCTCCAAATTTTTTCTGCTTTTTTTTAAATCCATTCTGTCTCTCAAGCCTTATTTATTGCTGCTTTCTTAGTTCATTTTTTGTTTGGCCAGACTGCTTCCTTGCTCTTCCTGAAGCCTGTGCTGGCATTTCTGCTTTGCTGCCTGTGCACAGGCTCTGCCTTGTGTGGAACCTGTCTCACTCCTTCTTTCCCTGGGAAACTGCTCTCCTTCTAAACACATTTTAAGGGATTCTCTCCTCTTCTATGAAACATTTCTTTGTATCTTCTGGCGTGCTTGCTCTTTCCCCTAAACTGTGTGAGCTCTGTGTGCTCTTGTATAATGTTTGTTATGTCCTGCTTGTAGTAAATGTAGAATTTATGGGTCTTTTTTCCCATCTCCTTTTAAGGACTATGAGCTTCCTGAGTACAGGGCTCTGTGTAGCCTTTACTACCCATTTTTGTTGCTAAGTGTTTGTTTAATTGACCTAAATCCAGAATGCCTTACGTTGTGTTTTGCTTTTAGTATAATTCATTTATTTGTAGTTTTTTCTATTTTGGAAAGACAGTCTGAAAATTCTAGTTTCCTAACATCATCTTCAAGAATGAAAAAAACTAAGGGATATGGACTTTAACATGTATATAGGGATGGGACCTAAATTTTTTCTACTCTTTGGAATTACACTCACAGAGTCAAGACTGTCAAATATGGCTTTTTCTAGTCAAATGTCTGAGAGATTGTATTCACAGTTGCAATTGGTGAATTGGTGATAAACTGGGGTGGTGTATAGCCTGTTGTGTCCCAGCAGGAGGTGCTGTGGAATGACACAGAGCAGCTGTAAGATCTCTTCTTTTACATCTAGGTTCGAGATGCAGCAATAAACAGCTTAGTGGAAATTTACAGACATGTAGGAGAACGTGTGAGGGCAGATCTCAGTAAAAAAGGATTGCCACAGTCCCGGTGAGTTCAGACTTTTTTCCTTTCTTCTGCTCTTTCCCCCCTACTCTTTTTCAGTTGACATCTTGGTTTGCACTACTTATTCTGTTGTGGTAACTTGATTCGAAGAATATATGGTTAGAGGATCAGTGGTTGCAGATCTTGTCCAGATCATTGGTCAGGGGCCCCTTCCGTTCCCCTTCCTCAAAAATAAGACTCTCCCCCAGACATCTAACCAGGTCCCATGCCACGTTCTGATTTTCTAAGCATAATTATAATCAATTGGTGTTTGAAAATCCAGCATTCTTTTGGTTCATATGGTTCTGTATCTTGTATACACACCAGCACCTAGTACAGTAGGTGCTGAGAATATATTTGTTTGAATGAATGAAGCCTTTCCAAAATGAGTCTGGATAGAAATATGTAAGTAATAATTCTGGAAAAGATCTTTGAAATGGTAGTTTTCTGGTCAGTAATGTCAGTCACAATGCGTAGAAGCCAGTGCGAGGGGATCACTGTCTTATCAGATCCAAGACAACTTTAGTCCACAGGTATCTCTGTTGTAGTCAGAATTAAAAAATAACGAACAATTGAATAATAAAATAATAAAAAATAGTGTATATAATTTGAACTATGATGGAGAAATTTACACCAAATGAGTTCTAAACCTTTTGCATCCCCCCCCCCCCCATTCCCTTAAGGGAGAAAGTAATGTGAAAATTCTGGGAAGTTAGACCCGGACTAGACTCACAGAGCAGCTTGTCTGAGCCTGTCACTGTGTCCATGGAAATAGCAGAGGCCCAGAGACGTGAAGTGACGTGAGAGATCACACAGCTGGAAAGAGTGAGAGCTAAGATTTGAAGCCCTGTTCTTCTGACTCACCTTTTAATATTCTCGACCCTGTTTCACAAAAGAGTTTATAGAGTATTGGGCATCTAAATATGGGATGGAATATTGAAATATACAAGAGTCACCCATCTTGATGTCTCTCAACTGGATATGACGGAAGTGGGCCCCTCACCCTAAAGTAGGGGTTCCACGAGCAGTGGAGTGGGGCTATACTTCTTTGTTATCAAGAGTCTCATCCTAGTGTTGCTCTTACCATGGCTCCTGGCCTGTGTACATGATATTTAGGTGGGAATAAAACTTTTTATACTACTTTTCTTGTTTTTTACAAAAGGTAATCTGTGGGAATAGAGTTTTTTCCCCATGTGTTTAAGAGTCTCAGCCTTCTAGTCTTTGTGATGAAGGTCAGCCCTGTGCTAACATCTGCCAATCCTCCTCTTTTTTTTTTTTTTGCTGAGGAAGACTGGCCCTGGGCTAACATCCGTGCCCATCTTCCTCCACTTTATATGGGACGCTGCCACAGCATGGCTTGCCAAGCGGTGCGTCCGTGCGTGCCCGGGATCCGAACTGGCGAACCCCGGGCCACTGCAGTGGAGTGCGTGCACTTAACTGCTTGCGCCACCGGGCAGGCCCCTAGTCTTTGAATACATGGTGAGAACACTTGGGAGAAAGACAAAGACAAAAGTACTAAACAATCTATCAGGGAAAATTGGAGGGCACAGATGAACAGGGAGGGCAGAGGCTGGAGGGAGAGGGATATTTAATGACGACGTCACCATCATTGATGGGAAAACAGGCCTTGAGCAATGAAACCCTTTACTGCTCCAGGGATGGCCTCACCATGCTGTGTAGCTCATGGTGGCCCTAGCCATGAACAGACCATCTTACACGATGGGATTCCTGTGTGGTATTTGAAGGTTGCTATAGCAAGCTAGATCTGGGGAAATGACATGGTCAAACTGAGATCTACAGAGGTGAGTACAGCAAAGAGTTAACATAGCAGGCCCGAGACTGCCGTCCTTAGGCCTGCTTGCAAGATTGGCCCTGGGATGGTGTCTGGAAACTTAGATTTTGGGAGGGTTCCCACCACTCCCAAAGAGTGAGATAAGGGTGGCTCACTGGGCCCCAAGTGTGCAGGTGTTATGCACCCCACCTGCTTTCCTTCTGGGAGTCTGGCATTTTGGTAAGTGCTACACAGAGGGTGTCTGCGTGACCAGCCCCAATACAAACGCCAGACGCTGAGACTCTAATGAGCTTTCCTGGTGGATAGAGTTCACACATGTTGTCATAACTCGTTGCTGGGGGAATTAAGCACGTCCTCTGTGACTCCATCAGAAGAGGCTCTAGGAAGCTTGTGCCTGGTTTCCTCTGGACTTCATCCCACACACCTTTTCCTTTGCTGATTTTTCTGTGTGTCCTTTTACTGCAATAATCATAGCTTTGAGTTTGACTATATGCTAAGTCCTGTGAGTCCTCCTAGCAAATTGTTAAACCTGGGGAAGGTCTTGGGAGCCCCAGCACAGAGGGTGATTTAGGTAAGGTCCCAGAGGCAGTTAATGCCTGAGCTGGCATTAGAACCTTCTCTTCCAGACTCCCAGTCATGTGTTTCATGTGTTTTTTCTACTTTCACCCTCCTTTTTTTTTTTTTTTTTTAATATTAAAAAGAAGCTACAGCTATGGAAGAGCTTGGGCCTCCGAATAAGAATGAAGCTTTCTGCTATCTCTTGTTCTCTAAAATTCTTCCTAAAAATTCGAGACCAAATGGAGAGGGTAGTCCTAGGGAAATGGACCCACATCCTTCACAGCCATTGTTATAAAATTCTGGCAGACACAGTGCTTGGAGAACTAGGCTGTTAGTTCTTTAAAAACTTTACTCTAGTGAAAGAGGCCAAAACTTCATGTTTCTTTGTATTTATTACAAGACAGTTACCTAAGATCTAGCACTGTGAGCGTCAGAGGCGCTCTGGCTTTTATTTTGTGGAGGATGTGTCCAAATGGAACAAGACTTTTACATAATCCTATCATTGTTTGGGATATTCATCATCTGCTATATGTGGCCCCAAGTGGCTGATTGGAATGCTTGAAAATTCTAGACTTCTGTTAAATTATTTATAGATGTTTTTGTTATGTGAGCATAGTAGATTTTTCAGCTTAGCAAGATTCCATAGGACTAATAAAATATAGAATTTGCTTAGTGCTTTCTAAAACCTGGATTTAGTCCAGGAATAAAATATTGTCCTCTTAAGAGTTTGTTCATTAGGCCGGCCCCGTGGCTTGGTGGTTAAGTGCGCGCGCTCCGATGCTGGTGGCCCGGGTTTGGATCCCGGGCGTGCACCGAGGCACCACTTCTCCGTCCATCCTGAGGCCGAGTCCCACATACAGCAACTGGAAGGATGTGCAGCTATGACATACAGCTATCTACTGGGGCTTTGGGGGGAAAAAATAAATAAAATCTTTAAAAAAAAAAAAAAGAGTTTGTTCATTGAGTGAATGCTATATTTGGGAAGAAGATTAATTATATCTCTAAGAAATACTATGATGAAAATGAATGCCTTAGTAATACTGGCTAAATGACTTAGAGTAGTAATCTGATTTGAGCAGCAGCTTTCTTTGTCCATTTCACACTTGGGAAAAGATACTTGTACATTCATCAGCTTCACTTTGGAGGAGCTGGAAACATTCATCAGCTTCACTTTGGAGGAGCTGGAATTATGCTTTTGGGACATGTGTTTAGTTGTTGTTTATTGAAGTCTTGCCGTCTGGTGGCTAAAACCATATTGAGCCAGATAATAAAGTGGAGATATTCACCAGAATCATCTTCATCTTAGGTCTCTCCACCCACATGGGATCTCAGCATAGTTGAGCTATGAACTTCAGTCAATATAATTTGTTGACCTTAAATACGTAAACAGTTATTTCTCTAGCAAAAATGGGTTTATTTGGGATCAGTAAAGATCCCAGTCAATTGCAATCAATGTGGGGTCTGTAACCATGGCCAGCCATTTGCAAGTCTTGAGCAGCAAGAGAGGAGAAACTCTTTCATAGAGGTGAAGAGGGAGTTAGGAGGGCTGTTATAAACAAAGAGTCCATTGGAGGAGACTGGGAGTTCGAAGTGTAGTGGCTTTTCATTGGCTGAGTTGTGACAGTCTCTCATTGGCTGAGCTTCTTGCCAGTCAAGAAGAGGAAGTCTTTCTTCTTCCTGTTGGACTCTGCTATCCATGTAGAGTCTAGAGCTCCCCTTTCTGGCTTCCTGCCTGTATTTTAGTGAGGTTTCTGTATATTAATTTTCACAAGTATTTGGCCGTTTTACATTGTTTTAGACATATTATTTTCACAGTTCTTGCACACGGTGTGTTCAGAAAGTAAACAATTAACGTCTAGCTATCGATGGTAAGATGTCATATCGTTGTATGATATTTGTGAGGCATGCTTGACGACTAAATAAAATGTAAATAAATCACCAGTAACTCCCTGGGGCTTACGTTCGTAGATGTAAGCTTTTAGCTGCCTTTGACATTCACTGTCACTCCACTGTATGTTCCAGAAAATATCTTATGGTATATTTTAGTTTGCGAACAAAGCTTTTGAAAAAAGACGGATTACTGGTGTTAAATTTCTTCTGGAGCTATCATCATTGGGAACCAGGCACCTGAAACAGCAGCTGCTTTAACTCGGAAGATAATTTAATTTATGGATAGAGCTGATACGTGTCATCTGATGTGTTGTAGCTATTTGTAAACTTACTTTGTGAACCTACAGTTTTGAACAGCTCTCATGATATTTGTTTTGCTATCTCAACCCATTTTAAAAATTTATAAGCATTGATTAGAAATTATTACTAAATGATTGTATTGTTGAGGGATAAATTGAAACTTTATTTTTAATTTGCTTGCTGAAGTTTAAGTGTTAGAGGCCCCAAGGGAAGAGCAGATGAGAATGTGCTCTGCCATTCCCGTCTCATTTTTACGTTTAAGTTTCTGTCAGAGTCATTTATGTGAGAGAATTGACTAGATTTATAAGATAACGTTGAAAAAAGGCAATTCCTTACTCCTCTTGCCATTTCCTCTTAGAGGCAAACACTATCAACTGTTTTTATTGATTCTTTTGTATCTGCTGCTCTGTCTCTAAATACTATGCATGTATTACTATTTTGTAGTGTTTTGTCACTGTAAAAATTTTACTTCACGTTGTGGAGGGTGAATTTCAGCTCTTTTTCCTCTTAACCTCCCTCATGTGCACTTGTCAACTCCTCATACCCCAAAGATAGTCATGTTTCAATTTTGAATAGGACATTTAGTTTATATTATGATTATGTATGCTATTCACAGCTCACTATTTGTATTCGGTGAACTATGATTAGTTTACCCCCTATCCCCCAACCTTTTGTTTTCCCTGGGTTAATAATTGTCTTACTTTCATTTGCATAGTTGTCTACATACTTATCATGTACTAGTACTGTCTGCAGACTGAGTCTGTTCCAATCTGGACTGGCTGCTTTCACTGCCCCTTACGTACTTTATCATCGTAACATCTCTCTATCATCGTCCTGAGGCTTCACTTCACCTTTCTCTGCAGGTTTGTTGGAGACCACATCTGTTCTCTTGGTTTTCTCTCATTTTGGTTGTGCATATCCTCCAGTAGCTTTCTGAGAGAAGTGGAGGAGGAAACTATTTTGAGTCTGAGACTATCTTTATTCTATCTTGACAGTGAGGTTAGAAGTCATTTTCATCCAGAATGTTAAAGCTAATGCCCCATTGTCTTCCAGCTTTCATTGTTTCTACTGAGAAGTCCGAAGTTATTCTGATTCTTCATCCTGTGTAGGTAACTAACTGTTCTCTTTGTCTCCAGTGTTTGTGTGAAACTTTATGATGATGGGTCTTATATGACTACTTTCATTTCTTGTGCTATGCACTTCGAGGGACTTTCAATCTGGAACCTTATGTGGTTTGGATCTGGGCAAGTTTCTTTAAAAATAAAACTTTATATTTCTAAATACAATAGTTAAATTATTGTCACTTGGACTAGTCCTCTGATTTTCTTATTTTTTCTCACTTATAATATCTTCACAGTTTTACTCTGTCTTCTGGGAAACTTTCTCAAATTTATCTTCCAACCATTCTACTGGGTATTTGATTTTAAAAATTTTCTTTTCTTGTTCTAATTTCTAAGATCTCTTTTTTTTTTTCATTGTATGTTTCCTTTTTAAAGCATTCTATTTTCTTTATTTTTAAGTAAGAGCTTTCTTGAAATATTTTATATACCATAATTTCCATATTTTCATAATTTACCATATACCTTTTAATGTGAACAATTCAGTGGTTTTCAGTATATTCACAAAGTTGTGTAGCCATCACTACTATCTAGTTTTAGAACATTCTCATTATTCCAAAAAGAAACCCTGTGTCCATTAGCAGTCACTCTCCATTCCTTCTTTCCCTCCAGCTCCTGGCAGCTACTTCTCTACTTTTTGTTTCTATGGATTTACCTATTCTGAACATTTTGTGCAAATAAAATCACACAAAAGGTAGCCTTTCGTTGCCTACATTCTTACACTTACCATAATATTTTTAAGGTTCAACCATATAGCATGAGACATTCCTTTTTATTGCAGAATAAAACTCCATTGTGTGTATTTGTTTATCCATTCCTCTGTTGATGGACACTTGAGTTGCTTCCACCTTTTGGCTATTGTGAATAATGCTGCTGTGAGCATGAGTGTACAAATATCTGTTCCATTCCCCGCTTTCAGTTCTTTTGGGTATATAGCCAGAAGTAGAATTGCTGGATCATATGGTAATTCTGTTTAGTTTTTTGAGGAACCACCATACTGTTTCCCAAAGCTGCTGCACCATTTTGCATTCCTACCGGCAGTGCACATCCTTGCCAGCAATTGTTATTTTCTGGTTTTTGTTTTGTTTTGTTTTTTGATAATAGCCATCTTAATGGGTATCTCATTGTAATTTTGATCCTCATAGAACTTTTATGGGACCTTTGTTGAAAATCAGTTGCCCGTTAATGTAAGGGTTTTTTTCTGTGATCTCAATTCTATTCCATTGATCTATAAGCCAGTCCTTCTACATTGTCTTGGTTAAGTAAAGTTTGTAGTAAATTTTGAAATCCAATTTTGTTCTTCTTTTGAAGATTATTTTGGATATTCTGGGTGCCTTGTGTGTCCATATGAATTTTAAGATGGACTTGTCAATTTTTATGAAAAAGGGCAGCTGGGATTTTGGTAGGAACTGAATCTGTAATGAGTTGGGGAATATTGCTGTCTTAACAACATTGTCTTCCAATCTATGAACATGGAATGTCTTTCCATTTTTTAAAGTCTTTAATTACTTTCAACAATTGCTTACTAGTTTTTAGTGAACAAGTCTTACACTTCTTTTGTTAAATTCATTCCTGTGTATTTTATTCTTTTGATGCTGTTGTGATTAGAATTTTTTTTCCTAATTTCAATTTCAGATGGTTCATTGCTAATGTATAGAAGTACAATTGACTTTTTTACATTTTTATATTGATTTTGTAAAAACGTAATTTTTTTTACATTTTTACATTGACTTTTTTACATTGATTTTGAATCCTGCAAATCTTGCTGAACTCCCTAGTTCTAATGGTTTTGCTGTGGACTTCTTGGGATTTTTGTATACTAGATATGTCACCTGCCAATAGAGAGTTTAGTTCTTCCTTTCCAACCTGGATACCTTTTATTCCTCTTTCTTGCCTAAAAGCCCTGGCTAGAACTTCCGGTAGAATGTTGAGTAAAGGTGGTGATAGGGGACAATGTTGTCCTGTCCTGTTCTTAGGAGGAAAACTTTCAGTCATTCACCATTAATAATGATGTTAGCTGTGGCTTTTTTGTATATGACTTTGTAAGTTTGAAGAAGTTCTATTGCTAATTTGTTGAGTGTTTTTATCATGCAAGGATGTTGAATTTTGTCAAGTACTTTTTCTGCATCTATTGATGATTGTGTGACTTTGTTTTTTATTTTATTGATGTGTTGTATTACATTAATTGATTTTTAGATATTAAACCCACCTTGCATTCCTGAAGTAAGTCACACTTGGTCATGTTGTGTAACTCTTTTATGTACTGCTGGATTCAGAAGGAATATTGGTCTGTACTTTTCCTTATTGTGATATCTTTTTCTGGTTTTGGTGTTATCGTAATACTAGCCTCATAGGATGAGTTGGAAAGTGTTCCCTCCTCTTCTCTATTTTTTAGGGTTATATATTTTTTTTCTTTAATTAATAGGCTTATATATTTTTTCTTTAACAGATTTACTTTTTAGAGCAGTTTTAGTTTTATAGGAAAACTGACTGCAAAGTACAGAGAGTTCCGTTATTCCTTTTCTCCCCCAACCATAGTTTCCCCTATTCTCATCTATGTTTTAAGAGTTTGTGAAGGATTGGTGCCAATTATTTTTTAAACATTGGTTAGAATTCACCAAATGTGAAGCCATCTGGGCCTCCGGCTTTGCTTTAGGGGTATGTTTTGATTACTGATTCAATCTTTCTACTTGTTATAGGTCTATTCAGATTTTGTTTCTTCTTGATTCAGTTTTGGTAGTTTGTGTCTGTCTAGGAATTTGTCCATTTTATCTAGGTTATCTAATCTTTGACGTATAGTTGTTCATAGTGTTCTCTTATAATCCTTTTTGTAGTGGCAGTAGTAATGTGCTTTCTTTCATCTTTTTTTTTGGTGAGGAAGATTGGCCCTCAGCTAACATCCGTTGCCTATCTTCCTCTTTTTGCTGAGGAAGAGTAGCCCTGCATTAACCTCTGTGCCCATCTTCCACTCTTTTGTATGTGGGATACTGCCACAGCATGGCTTGACAAGAGGTGCGTAGGTCCATGCCTGGGATCCGAACTTACAAACCCCGGGCTGCTGAAGTGGAACGCAAACTTAACCACTATGCCACC